TATTTTTATTCACATTCTCAGTTGTCATCTATAATTTTTAAAAAGTAACTTTTGTTTACTATACGCACTTTGTAGATATGTATAATGTTAGTAGCATGTGTTGGTAAGTCACTTACTATGTATCATCAGAATAGTTAAGGTTTGTGGCTGAATTTTTTAGTTGATAATATTTGCTTGCTATGTTTGTAGACTGAAAACAGCATCTGCATAATTTTGAGTATTGCATATGTAACTATTGTAAATAAAAAAAAACAGTAACAGCAAATTGTAATACCGTAAAGTTCCGAATATAAGCAACCCTCTAAGCTACCTATTTTGGCTGATTTTTTTAGAAGGGTTGCTTAATTTTAGTAACTTTTGAAATACTTAATTCTATTAGTCAATATTAATAAAAATTACTCTTAATTTTATTTTGCTTATAGGGTTGCTTATTTTATCTTTTTCATATTTTAGTGTTAAAATCTAAGGGGTTGCTTATATTTGGGACTTTATGGTATGTATCTATTTTTTATTTTTTAATCAAAAATGTCCAATGAAAATTTGACCAGATTAATTGATAGCTTCAACAAACTGACAAAAATTAGCAGATATGAACTATCTAGATAGAATTTTCTGGCTTGGTTATTGTTACGAATATGGAATTGGAGTTGAAAAAAATGAAAACAAAGTATTTACACATTATCAAAAATTGGCAAACATGAATAATTCTAATAGAATGTATCAAGTTGGTTATTGTTATAAAGCATTTATATATTATCTGAAATTTGCTAAGGCTGGTAATTCTATGGAAATTTGAAAAACTGCTGTTTGTTATCTTTATAGAATTGGTGTAGAAATGATATAAAAAGTAAGTTAATTTTTAATTTTTTTTATTATAATATTTTGTAATTTCTTTATTTAAAATTGAGATCTCTTACACAACTTTTATTTATTAGGGAGTAATTATAAAGTACATTTATTTAAGTTTATAAATATTTATTTATTGTTGGTTATTTTAGCCATGAATATAAAAAATATTTATTAATCAATAAAATTAAAAAGAGCAAAACAAGTTTATTTCATTCGCAGTAATTTATTCAGTAAGTATAAAATAATTTATTTATATTTGATATAAAGTTTAAATTGCAGATATGAAATAAAATATTATATATTATATAGTTAAGCCAAATATAGAAAATATGCATATTGTAATGAAGATAACACTTCTGAAGCCTACCAAGTGACTCTGACAGTAGACAATTAGAAATAAAAATATTGAAGATTGTATGAAGGAATTCTAACTTAGAGCCTAGAGTTATAAAAATGCAATTGAATGGATTCTATTTGATAAATTATCTGATATTAAAAAAATTAGTAAATGTGGATTTGGTTTTGTATATTCAGCAACCTGGTTGGGTAGCATACAAAAAGTTGATGAAAACTATATTTACAAAAAAGTATATGAACCATTTAGCATCATTGCACTCAAGACATTAACTAGTTCAAAAGATAACAATTTTGATTTTTTAAAAGAAATAAATTTATTTATTGCTTTGATAATTTATTAATTTATTAATAATAGTTTACTGAACTAATTTATTGTTTAAACCTTAAGTTTAAAAGTTTTATAAAAGTATATTAAATTATACAATGCTCACAATATATAGAATAACTCAGAACACAAAACAAATGAATATTTGATGGTATTTTAGTATGCTAATGATGAGAGTCTTTATAAATATTTTAAAAAATTTTTAATATACTTACATTGCAGACCAAATTGCAGATACTTGAAGATATTTCAGATAAGCTAGATAACATTCACAGATATATATATATTTATGCTAATTTTTATAGTGGTAATATTTTGCAAAACCAACCATCTTATATCACAGATCTAGGATTGTCTAAAAAGAAAGATGATAATGTTTTAGAAAGCGAAACTTACAGTGTCATGCCCTATGTTCTTCCTGAAGTTTTAGCAGAAAAATGGCAATTTACACAAGCAGCAGATATTTATAGGTTTGGTATTATTATAGCAGAAATGTCAAATGAACAAAGACCTTTTGATGATTATAAATTCAATTTAAAACTTGCAGTCAAAATTTGCAAAGGATTGCAACCAGAGTTTGCATCTGAAACTCCTATTAAATTGGCTAATAAATGCATAGATTCTGATCCATATGAACATTCTGATGCTTGGGATGTTCATAAAACAATAGATACTTGGTTTAATAAGATGCCTAATAATTAATTATAACAATCTTCAAATATTTTACTAAAAAATCACAACACAAATACGAACAATAAACTTTAGCAATCAAAGCTTTAAGATTACAACAAACTAGTAAACAAATTTCTGTATGAATTGGCATACTTTATTTAAATCTATGTATATATATATATTTTATATACTCTTAAATATAAAATCCTATAAGATTCAAACACACTTAGTAAAATACGTACAAATTAATCTGATTATTCCAAATAACTACTGTATAGACTCGAAATAATGCACAGAGGCGTTATTTCAAATCTTAGCCTGAATTAAGTCTAATTTAGGCTGAAATTTGAAATTTCACCCCTGCACGTTATTTCGAGTCTATACGGTACTAACATTCAAGCTATACCTAATTTTTTTTTTTTTTTTTTAAGCGATTCTTTCTTTATTTATTTTGAGCTACGATGTGAATTTAATACTCTCAAGTATATATTCTTTAATGCTTTTTGCTCTAATCTAATAAAAACTCACCAAGCAAGAAATGCCCAATGTGACCTGCTATAACAACTATTAATCTACTCAGGAATTCTAAACTTCCTTGAAATTTCAGTATGACGAGATACCCGAAGATCACAAACAGGTTGTTGTATACCGTGTTAGGATTCTTTCCTCTTTTATAAACTTTTCCCACCTAGATCCAGCAAAAAGTTTGACCCTTATTTCTGCACAAGACGAAAAACCAAAAACCATATTTACAAAAGAATAAACCAAATTCAAAGAAAGAAAACAAAAGAGAAGAAAAACAAAAACAAAAAGAAAGGAAAAAAAGGAAAACTTTAAATGCTATTCAATTATAAAGGAAAGAAGATAGAAAAAGCAACAAAAAAAAAAAAAATCCTAACACACACTATTATAACCCATGCTAGATAAAAAATAAAAATTATATACCAAATACAATATCTGTATATTTCAATTGTAAGACTAAGCCTTAATATATATTTTCTCTCCGGTCCATTGTTTGGCCATGGCTGTAAACCTAAGCTGCATCTTATATTAGATGTGTGCCATCAACGTCTCTGGCCCAGACTTAGAAATTTCTTTTAACTGGAACCTGTTCTAGTACTTAAACATCATATCCATTTCTGTATATGTGTTGCTATCTACCAGTCTGACTGAATTTGAAAAGTAAACAATATCGATCTTTTGTAGGGGGTAAGCCAAATCTCACTTTTTATGAAAAAATTTTGAAAGACCAACAAGGAAGCAAGAAAGGAGAGAAAAAACCACTTGGCCAAGAAAAGAGTATAAGGCTTCTTTAAAACAGTTGTTTGCTGTTCTCCAGATAAGTCAGGTGCATATGTAACTTCGTTATTGAAAGTGAGAGACCTCTTCCATTAGAATTTTTTGCACAAGGGCACACCCTTCTGCCAGTTTCATATACAGGAATGCTTCTAACTTGCATGATAAAGATATAAAGGAGTTATCAAGCCAAAGCAGAGAGAAGACCAACTTGGTTAACCTCTATAAAAACCATTAATATGCATCTACTTCAGCTTCAACTCCAGCAAACTTATTTTTTTTTCATCAGAAGGATTGGTCCAAATGATCGTCAGAAAGAGTTAAGCTATACCTAATTAATTAATCATATAATTGAAAAAAAAGCAACGAATTTTTTCTAAACAAAATACATTCTAATTATGCATATATAGATTACACAATTGACAATAAAATTGATTAACAAAGAATTACCATTACCAATCTTAAATTTATAAGAATTATCTAATTTATTATCTAACTAACTAATTACCCAATAATATGTAACTATAAAACCCTATATCAATGCTATAGTCAACAATATTTATACTACAGTCTGACCTCTATATAATCACCAAGTTAGTTGCGCCCTAATATGGTGATTATGTAAAGGTGTGATTATAAAATTTAAACCTCTATATAATCACAATTATAAAAAAAATTATAAATTGTGATTATAAAAGATGTGAAACAGAGACAAACGTAAGTAAGGGCACCACTGGCTCCTACATTTATGTTTATATAAAACTAAATTTTAAAATATACAATTGTATCAATTTTAATAAGTAACTTAAGAAGTAATTGATCAATTAAGTAAATTAGCACAATTAAGATTACTCCACATATTTTGTATATTGATATCAATTAAAAAATCATTATGCCTATTGGCTAAATCAATAAAAGACTTTTTATTAATAAATTAGCATAGATAATAAAAATTGATAAGAGGTATGATCCTCAATTATAAAATTTCTGTAATTGGCTTTCAAAATATAAATATACAAGCCAGGTCAAGCCAATAAACATCTTCGGCATTAAACATAGATGCTATAGCTTATTTGCTATTTATAATTTCTGCAATTGGCTTTTAAAACCTAAATATACGTACTAGTCAATAAACATCTTCAGTAATAAATATAAATAAGAAGCCTCATTCGACGGGTTAAATATCTAAATTATAGAGATAATTTATTATTTTAATTGATAGCTTCATCTAGACTAAAATTTTACTAGTAATTTTTTAGCGAGAAAAGTAGGGATTCACTATTATCATAAAGTTCATCAATTTAGTTTATTTTTTTTTTTTATTATTATTTTTTTTTTTTAGCAGGAGGGGAGTACCAAGAGGATTTTTTAGCACTAAGGTTTCGTCATTTTTAATTTGGGTTTTGTCTTTCATCAGCAGAATTTGAGGTTTCGTCTTTTATCAGAGGTTTCGTCTTTTATCAGAGGTTTCGTCATTTTGGGCTTAGGTTTCATCTAACAACTATAGGCTCAGGTCATTTGAGCATTTAGCATCTCCAAATCGCATCCAAGTTATGGGTTTAAAACTTTACTCCAGAACATTAAGGCCACAGATTTAATCTTTAAACCATGACACTAGCAATTAAATTTTAAAATTAGATTCAAACCAGAAAATATCTAATCACTATTTTTCTAGGTAGTGCTATATAATATATAGCCAATTAGATTAATTTATTTGTAATTATATAGTTAGAAATTAGTGATTATAATGAGGTTTATTTATTAATAAAAGTTTAAAATAAATAGTGATAGTGATTTGTAACTATAATGAGGTTTTTTTACTATATTTAAGTCTGTCGCACAATTTTGAGTGCTTATATAGAGTTGTGACTATATAGGGTGTGATTATAAAGAGGTTAGACTGTAATTATCTACAAAAAATACAAAATTATGATATGATAATTTACCACTTCTACAGGAACAATGAGAAGGGGCACCAGTGGCGCCCCATTCACTCTTGTATAATGAAAATTGTTTAAAAAATTATGTAATAAAGTTAATTATATTAATAAAATCAAGATAAAATTGATTTTTTAAAAAGAATGTTACTAACTTTCACCCTAGGTGATATCACCTAGTACATAAAAACCAATCAGACCGCTAGATTTCGTGTAACCAAAACAAAGCGAAGAAAAGAAAAACTTTAAAAAACTTTCAATAACTCTAAATTTTATTATGAAAACTATATTTAAACTTCTAAGCAAATGTTTTCAGCTTTGAATTTTACATATATAAACCCACTTACTCAAACCCTAACCTAACTTTAGCTTAAGCCTAACCCTAATCTTAAACACGTAAATTTATTTTAATAAAAATTTTATAATACCGGGTGATATCACCATGGGTGAAAATTAGTTATAATCATATTATTACGTACTTACAATATATCATAAAAATAATGATAAAATTACAAAATAAGCTGAATCTTCATTTTTCATAATCAAAAATAGAATAAAATAAAAAAATAGAATTATTAATTATCAATGATCTCGACATACTCAGGGCACCTACGTACCTCAATAGACTCAATAACGAATCTGATTGGTTTGTTTGGTTTTTTTATTGAATTCATTGAGGTAGGTGTCTGAGAACGCTCTCAAATGGTGATCTCTTCTGCGATCTTAGTACGATGGTATTGAGAATTTATATCTCAAATTCTGATAACGCTTCCGTTATCTTTTCGATGTTAATCGATTTACTCCTGTACTCATTTGGATGAATCAGTGATTTTAACACTGGTTTGATCTTATCTGCCTCAAAAAATTGCTTCTTGACTTCATTATCATCATCTTGTTTCATCTCGTCAAGCCAACATCCAACTCTGTAAAAAATATCTGCTGCCGTTGGTCGCTTATTTAGATCAGAATTCCAGCATCTTTTGGCCAATTTTACATAGCACTCTGGTGTTCCCTCACAGAATTCAGGTCGTTTACCTCGACAAATTTCCAGCGCAAGATTACTATTAATAGACTCTCCATCAAACGCTCTCTTTCCTGTTGCCAACTCCGTCATAATTATACCGAGGCTGTAAATATCCGCTCTTTGAGTGCATGATTCTCCTTTTAAGACCTCTGGCGCCATATACGGAATAATACCAATGCAATGGTATCACCTTCATGATTACATAATCCTAAATCAGCAATATATGCACTGCGCAAATTGGTAAGGAAAATATTAGAAGAATTCAAATCTTGATGAACAAATTCTTGAGAATGAATTGCTTCAAGATCAGAAGCGATACAATATATTATATTTAATTTATCTTTCCATACTAATTGAGTTACAGATTGGAGATTCTGACGTAACGAACTTTTACTTGCATATTGCAAAACTAAAATATAGTCTTTAGTTATATCGTCTCTTGATACTCCATAACATTCTAAAAATGATGGATTTTCATAACTTATATCACAATGACATTTCAATTCTTGAACGAATTCTTGAGCGATTTTATTCGAATTGTGAATTGGTTTAAGTGCAACGTCTACCTTAATATTATCATTTTTATTATACCAAGATGCGTAAAATACAGTAGAAAATCCACCTTTTCCTATTTCTCGAATAGAGTTGAATTCATTGTAATTAATCCATGATAATTTATATCTTTCATCGTTTAAGATCTTTTTAACGCCATCATCGATTCCTTCATACGAAATTTTATTGATTTTTTTAAGACTTCTTGCTTTTCGGTACCAATGATTAGCCCTTTGAATATCGTTTTGTACTCCAATTCCATTCCGGTAACAATTACCAAGATTATTCATACCATCAACATCTAGTTTTGCGCATTGGAGATTTACATTTTGAAATATTGTATTTTGGAAACTCGCACCTTGAAGATTTGAATCCCGAAGATTTGCACCATTAAGATTTGCACCATTGAGATTCGCACTTTGAAGAGATGCACCTTTGAGGTTCGCACTTTGAAGTTTTGCATTTTGAAAATTCACATTGTTTAAATCAGCTCTTACAAATTGTGAATTGTTAAAAATTCCATTGCTTAAATCCGCCCCTTGAATACGAATATTGTTTAAATTTATTGTGAGCTGTATTTTGGCACGTGATAGAACTGTAATAGCATTGGCGGAAGCAGGTTGAATATCACTTTTTTTTATACTCTTATATTAAAATATTAATCTGATCAAGACAGTCATGATTTATACTATAAAATTCTGATTACGATTCCACAGGGAAATAAATTTTATATAGTCATCCTAATTCAGTTGTACTATGGTAGAGATTGTGATCCGTTATTCATTTTCCTATTTAAAATTTAATGATATCGATTTGGATTCTTCATAATGAAGTTTATTTTGATTGGTTGTTAAAATACCCGGAAAAATGTTGATCGTACCCGGATAAAGTATCGGCCATACCCAGACAATGATTTATTATTTATGAAACTTTTTAAAAAAATAGTAACTACATTCTGAAGACGCGTATTATAGCCTTACAATACATTAATTTGATTCATAACACAGGTGACTCTCGTTAATATCAACCCATTTGAATTGGTTTTAAATCATGTTGATAGTGATATTAATGAAGAATCTTATTAAAGTTGTTATATGAGGAAATTTTGATATATAAAAATTTAGAAAATATTGATTTGTGGCTTAGGTTGATATTATTGAGGTTGATATTAACAAGGGTCACCTGCAACTACTTTAATTCATATTTCACGACGTACATATTACCGGTATTCTTTTGCAATAAATACATTAATTTTACAATAAACAATTAAGTTTCGCAATACATTATTAAACTTGATTCTAAGATACGCGAACATTTCTAACCACTACCACTATAAACGCAGTATTTACAAACTAATAACCTAAATCAGTGTTGTTGCTAGACCGGTCCAGTGAATTTCACTGGAACTGGAAGGATTACTGGAACTAACTGGATGAAACTGGAAGATATTCGGTTCCATGGTAAGTTGTCACTAGACCTTTCCAGTCATATCTTTTTTACCACTGGATGGAAGCTCCAGTGAAGTCCAGGGAGGTCCAGTGAAATTTAATAAGTTAAAAAAGCATATATATATATAAAAAAACAACCTTTTTTATATTTATGTAACACGATACAGATTTATCATACGTGAAGTTATATACATAATCTATTTGTAATAGTGCAATCCTGTAATCAATAAAATCAGACCGAAAATATTATATGCAAGCTAAGATTGTAATTGGATCGTTAAGATTCAATATATCGTATATTTCTATGCACAAGCCCAATTTGGTGGTCCATAATCTCAAAAATCATGGAACTGCCAAATTTTTGTACCATTACTTTGTTAGCCTTTATATTAATACCCATACTTTAAACTAATGACATAATGACGATAAGTATCCCTGTTAGTAAAGTTGGTTTTCGGATTATCCTAAAATAAAAAGATTTGTTTTTGAATGTCTTATTATCCCCAAATTATCCTAAATTGCCCTATATGCGAAAGCACTAATGATTCTGTAAATGCAACTACAATATAGTTTATTATATTCTAAAGCGAGTTATGTTATATTTCAGTCATGGGTGATGATGGAATAATTATGATTGGTCATTAATATACAGTGTTTGCATTTGGACTATGCCCAATAAAAATTTTATTTGGACTTGGACAAATATGGACATGGACTAATCCAAATAGTGTCCATGTCCATATCATCTTCTTCGAAATTTTCGGAATATTCCGGAATTTAACTCTAGTTTGTACTTTTTCGGTTTGGAACATTTCGGAACGGACTAAGTACCCTATGTCCAATGAAAAAATATGGGCAATATTGACATAGTCCATAAATGTCCATGTTCATTGGTCCATATTTTGCAAACACTGTTAATATATATAAAGAAGAAATCGGCGATAAAAGAATGAACACAAAACGTTCGAATATTATCAAGTAGTTTAATTTTAAACTTTACAAAATATCACAACTAAAATTTATTTTAATTTTACTAATATCTATATAAGAAATTAATAAATAAGTTTTTTAGCACATATTAAATTATAAAGTTGATCTAGAATCAAATTTAGGTGGATACTATATCGTAATTTTGGGATGTATTATATTAAAATTAGTACCCGAATTTTAATTATGGAGGTTTTGTTTATTGTAAATACTGTAAGCAGTGGCCAATGATAACCGAAGAATCATTCATTTAATTAATTCTAATTAGTCACTTCTCGTGGTACACGTCGATATAACAGACTCTTAATATAACGAAGACTAAGTAAAATCTCGATATAACGGATCAAGATTAAGATAGTATTAAGATCCACACCATAATAAATACAGCTAGATATAATGGATTTACTACTAACCACATGAAAGCGAATTTTAAAAAATTCTTCACTATGTGCCCGAGGTATTACGTTATATCGAGAGTGACGTTGTGACGGTCTAAAGTAATGTCACATTTCCGAAGTCATGCTGCGAAGGCCCTCTATTTCTATTTTTAGAATAT